CTTTACCAGCTAATGCGATTAACGAGCTCCAATTCTAACAATGCTTTTTCGACATTTCTTCACAACCTAACTCCATTCTCTTAATAATTAAACACAAGTTCTCGCGTTACATTAAAAATTGTAATTACCTTTGCTTTTTGAATTTTTCAATTACCGTCCACTTTCATTGTTACCTACGTTTTTATATTATGAATTTATTTCGAATCTAATCGACCATTTTATACCAGAATCTCGTTGAACCGAATAATTTGTTCTTTAGCATGTTCATCCGGCTCGGAGAACTTTCATTACGAAAGTTTAAATGATAATTGAACGCGAAACGAAATTGCACGACGCGTGAATCTCGGGTTAAATTCAAATGAAAGTACTCGGGGTCCTGGGTAAATTGTAACACGATTTCATTCGTGAAAGAGAATTAAGAAAACCGTGGAAGAATATAAGGAGGTCTATTGAAAGCGAGAGTGAATTGCAACAGGACGCGAATGACCTGAAGCGGTTCTAAAATTCATTGTCATTCCAACGGACGATTTTAAACTAATTAAGAAACATTGTTCCAGGAATAATCGCTATTACAATTCTTGTCTATTTTAAGATTCTCCACTTTTCGTTTCTATTGACAAAACTTTTTTCTTTATCCCAGTACTTTTACTTCGATGTAGTTCGCAGACAATAGGCCTGCTCTTATTATTGGAAAAATCTCTTCCGTTATGTTTACTCCTGTACCATTCCCTAGACGGCGTACATTGTTTGAAGATCCAATGAAAATGTAGGTGACGTAGAACGATCTGTTCTGTTTAAGGAATTATCGAAAGGAATGATATTTCCATGGACATCAAAGACAAGCTAATAAAAACGTCGACTTTTACCACTTCTTGAGTTCATTTCTTTTATATCTACCCAATATTGCCCCTAACTTTCAATTCTTATTTCCTGCTCTTTCTTTATTCTCCGATTTCTCGTATCAATCGCACACCGAGAAGTCCCGGTAAAAGTGAGGTCGCCTGCCGGTCATTCATCCCCCGAAAACTTGCCCTAACCTTGACAGCCGGCGCACTACGATACCCTGGACCGTTCGACGAGGGGAACAAGCGTAAAGGAGAAAATTACCGTGAACCTTCGTCCCGTAATCGTACTTCTCCTCCTTTTTTCACAAGACGTCACTCGACAACCTTCTCCACACTCGTTCCAGACTTATCCGGGTAACATCGCGATTAGAAGATATTCGTGAAAAACGAACCGGCATGGACGGGGAAACACAACGAAGAGGCAGCCGGTTCCCGGTGAACTATCGCTAAACCCACGACTTCCCGGTCGTTCGTGCAGCTACGTATTGTACGTTCTCGACGACGTTGCTCCCCACCCTCGGGACTACGCGCTACAGCACCGGCTCTGCCGTCGAACCTACCCCCGAGGAGAGCGAGCAACCCTCCGCCACCATCGCGCAAGAACCTCCCTTGGTGGCGCCTTAAGCCGCCCTCGCAAGTTGGCCGACGTCGCCGCCAGGTTGCACCAGCTTAGCCAACCACGCGGATCGATCGACGTGACGTCACGCGGCCGCGCATGCGCACTAGCGTCGATGACAATTCGCCACGATCGCGTCTGAAGATACATCGGGAGTAAGAACCTCTTCTTCTTTTTCTTAGAGATATCGAACACTAGAAATGAATCGATCCTGTCTCTACTTGGATTATGAACTTTATCAATGTACCCTTCATTGGGTGTTTTTCGGATCAGATAAGTTTCGAGGAGGAAAATTTTGCTGGAAAACATTGAACTTGTTTGTTAGTTCGAGTAATATCAATGCTTCCTTAGTTCCTAAGTTTCCAACGAGGAACAAGAAAATTTCTGCTTGCGAAAAGTTGGTCCCGAAAGAAATACACGACACTATCTATCGCACAAACAATTTTGTATTTCTTTGGAATTCGAATCGGTTAACAAAACTACCCTCGTTCTTTCTTTGTTTCTTCAAGCTAAGTTTCCAACGGAAAACGGGGAAATATATGTGTACGAAAAGTAGATTTCTAAAGAAATATACGAATGTTTCTTAAGCAATATTGTGTTTCCTGACGATTCCAATTTCTTCGAAAAACTCACCCCTTCATTTTTCTTTACGTCATCGAACTAAATTTCCAATGGGAATTGGGATAATTTCAATTTATAATCCTTTCATTTATTGGACCGATAATTTGTGGAACCCAGAATTCTCAAAAGATTACCAGTGAAAACAGAATCAGGTGAACAAAGTGGTTGTAGAAAGCAACGCTTATACCACTTTGATTTATGAAACAATTAAAAGGATTGAGTGTGCTATTACAACCTGTCACAGAATTATGGTACTTCCGTGAGAAGTAATTTAGCAAGGTATTCGTGGTACAACTGTATCGAACACGTGGTTCAAAAGCGTGAAATTCGTAGAGGATATCCTACATGCTGTTATTAAATCCGAAAAATAGATAACGTGGAACGAATGAAATGTTTGCCTTTTTAAGAATAAGAATCTGATTTCTATGAAGAGACAGAAAATGTTTAAATTTAATTTAAATTCGTTAGTAATAGACGTTTCATAATTCACTTTCTGATAATCCTATTATCACTAATGATGTCACGTATCAGTTTGCTGATCGCTGACATTTATTATTACATTATATTTTTATGGCTGCTATACAGTTGTGAATAAATGGACATTATGTTTTTTGGCCCGTTTATACACTGCATATAATTGTATAGCACTCACAGAAATATAACACGGTATTACTAATTCAACGCCATTTGTAAATTATCAGAAAAATGAACCAAAGAGCGTAAATATACAGCGTATACTACTTTACATAAATTGTTATTATTTGCTTAAGCGTGTAAAGTTACACTTGGAAACGCGTCGAAAGGGATACGAATCCTTTAGTCTCCCAGTTACCATTGCGACAAGTCGAAAGGACAATACAAAGCACTGTTGACGAAGGACAATGCTGCTTATCTTTCTGCATACAACCACGTCGAAAAGCGACGTCTCTGGCTTAAATTGATTTCGTGCCCTGCTGCTTGCACGTTTGCAATTGTTTGATGCTAAGGACTAACGCATAGAAGCATTCTATCATTTCCATCTAACGAGTATTGTCTTGAGAATTTCAGTTTTAATCACCCTCTAAAACTTGTAATTCTTTTGAAATATGTACATACGTTAAATATGTAATTGTACCTTCAAGTTCGTGATCAAAATTAATTTTTAATCAGTTTAGATAAAAATTACATGAAAACATACATAAACTTCTACCACTTCACCGATTTTTTCCCACATTGATAAGTTTTCCTTTAACTCGTTGGTCAGCTCGAAAGCCTGCGACATCGCTCATCGCAACGAAGGAAGAAAAAAAAAAAAAAAAAAAAAAAGGAGCAACTAAAAGTGCTCTATGGATGGAGGAGGATTAAAAGCGCGAGGAAGCGAGAAGATAAGTTTTTCTGGTGTTGCTGGAGGATACGTAATCGTCGGAATATGCTTTCAGGGCTGGCCTTCTTTGTTGGTGCCCTCGCCCTGTTTTATGGGGTCCTCGATGACGAAGTGGAAGGATGCAGGAGGGTCGTACTAACAGACGGGGGCGAGTATATTGAATTTCCGAAAAGCGCGTCGGGTTTCAAGCGGATGATACGCGGCTTGCTTATGCCAAACGAGTTAGCGATGCTGGAGAGGGTCCAGGATCCGCCTTCAACAGTTTCCCTCTGTGTACGAAAACACCATTGTCCGTGTGGCCTGACGCCGCGACGCGGCGATTACCTTGGCCTGGCATCAACTTATGCAAATTGTTGAGAAAAATTAAAAATTGAGCAACCAAATTTCATTTGAAAATAAATTGGATACCTAGTTATTCACAAAACTGAGTGTACTTGCGTAGGACATGAAAATTGTCAAACATATTCATAAGCAACAATACAATATGAATAATTAAACTTAGAAAGACCAAGGCGGGGGAGGATCAAGCTCACCAATTAGAAATATTGAAAATATATTATTTTTCTAATACAAAGGATTTATAAAGCATTATTTCTTTTCACCTATGCTTTCTAAGTCAGTACATACTGAAAAAATGATTTTTTTTTAGTGAAGATGTTAATTATCGGATGGCGGACCATGGAGAGAGCCCCAATTTTAATATAATTCTATGTTTTATATTATTTTCATTTTCAACGAGTCAGAAGGATCAATCGACCCTCTTTGAAAGATTATAATTTTCTTGTTTAAGAAATAAATACCAGAATATTCTTGAAAATTTTGGTAAACGTTATTTGGAATAAACAAAAATGAAGAAAGTTATATACATACTGCGTTGCTTATAAATCTGTGTGAAAGTAATTATATATTTGAAGACATTATTTCGAAACGATACTAAAATGACAGCGGGAAATTGAACAGCGTCGAAGCATTATCGATACGAGAGATTAAAATGTTGGCAAAATGAACGAAGTAGCGAAGAAAAATCGAGAAAATGGGTCAGTGGTGATCATCTCGATTAGATTCACCGCATTGAGTTCGGATTCGTCTCGGTCGAATAGAACCTCGTTCAAGCGTGTCCAGTCCAACTCGCTTCGTTCAACTATTCAATCTCATTTGATTTCCTCCGTACGTGTCGTCCATGTAAATTCAATTGGACGAACGACAATAATTCCTCGCAAATGTCCCAGACTAGTCGACCAGATAAGAAACTCTACCGCAATTTTCGTTGGAATGTAGAACACGACAGTTCCCAGGGAAACTCTTCGACCGATGAAAATAATTTACAGGGTACGACGAGTTAACGATTCTATCTTGTAACGTGCGAAGAGAATAAATAAGAGGCAGAATCAAAAAATGATTTAATCGATATTTCCGATTTTTTTCAAACTTCAATATACTGAAAAATATATGAAAGAATGTATAATTTATAATCTAGAAAATGTGTAATTTTTAAACGAAAGAGTTTCATATATTAGAGGAATAATTTTTAAAGGAACAGAGTAAAATTTAGAAAATGAAATTAATATGAAATATGCAAAATTAAATTAAAATTGTGGCTCTGTTTATGGTTCGTCGTTCTAAGCTTAGTTTATTCAATCGAAGTAATCCACGTAACCAAAGATAACCATGCTAAGCTGAGTAGAGCTGAGTAATTGGAGGCCCGTACGAAATTAGCTCTGCAAATTTCGTCTAATTAAAGGCCATTAGTAAGTGCTGGCACGACTACTCTTCACTGCATGCTGCATTAAGTCTGATTCAAAACGTTGCACTGCCGGCTTCGCGAAGTGATTCACGGTAGAATAATTTAACATTAATCAACAGCGTGACGTATCATTACTATTTTCAAAACTATACTTAATCAGCTACTTTCGCCCCTACTTATCTCGACCTACTTTAACTTTAATTAATAACGTTTCAGATCTTTTATTCTAATCTTTTTGAATTTACCTTATAGTTTTCAATTTTTCCCTAAAATTTAACAAAAAATATTCCTCTGATTAAATAAGAAAAAAAGATTTTAAATTGGGTCATAGGTGATCCACGCAGTACTCAAGGTGTTAAAATCAGTATTTGTTAGTTAGAAGATTTTTCTTGTAAGAGTTATGGAAAGAACAATTCAGGCTTTGTAATGGAGTTCACGTGCTCAGACAAATCTGGCTACTTGTGTTTCGTGTTCACGTGGAGATTGTGACTCGTTCACGTGCCATCGAACCCCGTGTACCAAAAGGTATGTAACAAGATATACTTGTTGAAATAGATGGTAGCAAGCGTGTATAATGAAGAGTGCTTTGACATCGATCTGTACACAGAGCATGAAACCTCTTCACGATAATTGAATTAATTTGCTTCCACTAATTTAAAGAGTATCGTGTCACGACAATATCTTTGCAAATTATTTTCATCATTGTATACATATCCTACGTTTAAAACGAAATTTGAATATTTTTAGATACAAAAATAAGTATGAAATGAAGTACTATAGTATTCTAGGATTTAACCCTTTAACAAAATTTGTTAAAAGTGCAACGAAGTTACTTGAGAAGGTACAGAAGTATAGAAGTTTCTTTAATACTTAATAATTTTATAGAAAATCAACTCATTACCAGTTCTATAATTAATCCTTGAACAGCGGAGTCTAGTCCAATCAAAACCCCCCAAAAATGTATAAAATTAAATTAAAATCGAGACTCTCTCCATGGTCTGCCATCCAAGGATTAATCGCCTTATTTTATATGTACACACTTACCTCTCATGATCGTGGCCGTAAGATGGATTGATTCTGCGAGCGTACAAGGAAGCACCACCCTCGGACATGTAACCGTCGCACAAGTCGGACAGAGTTCTGCTGCCGACGGTCATACCACCTCGAAGAACCTCCCCGTCGCTTAGATAGCCGGAGGCAACGTCGATGTCCGCGTAATCGTGACCGACATGATGATGAGAAGAAGAATGAAGGATCGTGTACTGTCGAGCGGTCGTTCTGCTGGGCAACGTCTGAAGGGCCCTTGCCCCAGGAGTGTAACCACGGAGGAGAGGTTGCATGGGTTTTACAGTCATCTCAGCTTCGTCGTCCCCCATCGAACCTCCCCCGCAGCTTGAACTTTCTGACAAGACCTGTAACATGGGCTAAATTATTATATTTTTTTTTTTCCATATCAATGAGCATTGTTATTTAGTGAAATTTGTATCAAATTTAGTGTGAAAATATTTTACAAGTAGTATTGGGTGAAATAAACTATAGCTATCCAAGAAAAATAAATTTCTGAATTAATAAAATAAAATTTGTCAAGTAATCTCAAACTCTTTATTTCACTTTTTCATGCATAATTATAATGATACTACCAGTTTATGAACACCCAATTTATTAATACATACTTAAAATTAAAAGACTTTTAATTACTTCTTGTATAAACCAACATCCAGTTTCTCGATTGAAATATGTATTATATTTGAGAACGTCTACTTCGAGACTACTAACCTTCTCTATTTGCTCGAAGGTCGTGTCGATTTTCCTATTTGGTATCGTCTTGATCTCGCTACCACTCTCGCTGCTGGGCCTGTAAATAACGCTGCTATCGCTCGAGTTACTTTGCCCGGTGCTGTTCGAGTTGCTGTGCGAACTCTCAGACATCAAATCCGAAATGCTCGGCATCGGTGACACCATTGCGACGGTGTTTGGGTCGAGCTTGCGATGCAAAGCGTCTGCCTTCAATTTCGTAGGCGTCGCCACGCCAGCTATGCTGTTTTCCTTCGGCGGTTTCGAGGTGCCTTTCACCAAGGCCGTGGGCTTCGGAATGCTGGAACCGGGACTGCCGGAAGCGTTCAAAGTAGAACCCTGAAGCGGACTACCGAGTACCGGAAGCTGCTGTTTGTTTAGTACAAAATTCAAGGCGTTCGAGGTCTGCTCGTGACACGGGGTATTGTTCGTCTGAGCAGTCGTGCCTTCTTGAATAGTCGCCATTTTCGTGTCTATCGTCGTTTCTGAATGATGACGAGGGGACGAGGGAGGTGTTTGCTTTTTGTTCGTACGATCCATATCTTGCAGATCATTCGGAAGCTTAGGTTTCATTGGCAAACTTGCGTTCTGTTTCGAGGGGCTACCAGCATTGTCCAGAGTCACCGAATGATTTTCGTTAACGATCTCTTTCTGTCTGTCTATCGTCGACTTCTCCTCCGACAGATTCGCTTGATTCATCAAAGACAAGGCATGATCGTTTTCATCGGTGTTGCGGATTTCTTCTTGATCAGGCTGCTTGATCATTCCGTTAGCGTTACTCATCAGTCCCTTTTGCAGTAGGACGTCCTTGTTCAGCCCGTTGGGCGGCACTTTCACGCTTTGCAGCTGAATCTTCGCGTCCGCTATCTTACCGGGTAGCTCCATCTTCGGTCTAGGCGGCTGTTTCGCCGGTTCGTTCTTCGCACCGGCAAAGTTCTTCGCGTCCTGTCCACCTATCTGTTTAGCAGCCACCAACATCGAGGGATTTGCCTTCTGCAATTGACCGGACGGTGGTTGCTTCAATAGATCCTGCAGATTCGATGACTTCTTGTCCACAGCCAACTTCGCAGCCACGGGACCGATCTTGCTGCTCGGTTTGACATCTTCCAACGGCGGATTATAAGCCAGCACTTTCTCGGGCGCGCCTTTCGTTCGCGCTATCTTGCTTTGCCCTTTGCTCTGCTCTTTCCTCGCGGTCTTCGGGCTCGCCTGCTTCGCTGGTTTCGTCGACTGAAGCTTCGACTTCAATGCACGGTTCTTCGGCGACTCCACCTGCACTCTGCTCTGGTCGCACAGCGACGTCGAACTGTCCGAATGCTCTGACCTTGCTGAGGAGAAACCAGAGGAACTTGAGGTACGTTTCGATACACCGGACGAAGCTTTACCGCGGTCCTGATTTTTCTCCTTGTTGTTGAACAGCTTAAACTTGTCCAGGACAGAGTTCTTGTTCTGCTGAGTCGGCGGTCCTGTCGTTGTGTACGGGGATTGTTGGCTACCCCTCGTGCCACTTGGTTTTCCCACCGTCGACGTTCGAGGGCTGAAACGACGAACACATTTGTTTGTTATTAAAATTAAAATTGATGGTTTAAGGTGAATCAATTATGATTCGATGTACAAGAATGGTATTTCAGCTGTTGAATGCATATTTAGATTTCTAACTACCAGTGGCGGATTAAACGGTAATTTTTATCTAACTTGAGTTTGAGTGCCCCAAAATTTGGCCCCCGCTTGACTTGATCCGCCACTGTTAACTATTCTTTGCAGTTTCAGTGTTAAATCGAAGCGAAAATTGTTATTTACCTCGGTGTAGTTGCCGTTGTTTGTCTATTGGTAGAATTTTGATTTCTGGGCTGAGGAATGAAGGAGAGTCCGCCTTGGGGCGGTTGTTGCTGGCTAGGGCTCGTACTTCTGGAACTACTAGCACTTCCTATACCACCGTTTCCGTGCTTTAAACCACCTGAAACACAAGATAATCAATATAAATTAATAAACGCATCAAGTTTTATAAAATTTGATACATTGAATGTCTCAGTAACAGGGCCGGCTTTAGCAGATCTTGCCTTGGGCAAAAGTCCCCTTGCAATTGCTCAATAATAATATATGCGTATAAAACTTTTTTAGCTCAAAGATGGTGAATCTTTTATTACGCGTTTTCAAAAGATAGATTTAAAGCGCCCTTGGGTGTTCCCCTCACTTCGCCCTCCCCCAAAGCTGGTACTGTTTAGGAGGCACTCGTGACCAGCATCATGAATTCAATGTAATCAAACGACTGAGGAAAAAGAAATTAAAGAAAATTTTAAATAATATTAACCCTTAGTTGGTATATTTCAGCAGAATAACATGGCTGGCACAATTGGACGCTTAAGACCCCCATACCCAATAGTGCCAACTAAGGATTAATATTATATTACTTGAGCTAGGTGGACGAGAAGTGGAATATTTGTTCTTTGAATAATTGCAACTTCAGTGTATAATTACATATACATGCACATGTAAAATATGAATCCACCTTGAGATTCAAGTGCTTCAATACTCTGGTAAGCAACTGTAAGATTCCCACGAGAGATCAATAGTAGAAACACGAGGGTTGAGTGACATTATACAGAGCAAACAATCGAGAAGTGAGACTAGTAAGACACTCTTCATCGCTACTTGACAGACGTCAATCGAGCAAACGTTTCTAGACTTTGCTACATGAGACGCTTACTTCTACGAGTTTTGTACCCTGGAATATCGGCTTCCGGAGTGGTTCTCCTATCTTCGGTATATCGAGTTACCCTCGAAACAAGAGGGATTATGACGACATCCTCTGATTGCACGAATATAAATACAGTAGACTCTCGTCGAAGTTTTGTAAAGTCTATAACATTTATATTTATACAACTAATTCCGTACGAAATTTCTCATATTTCTACGTTTGATTTTTCTCTCTACATCAAGAAATAAAATGGGTATTCCATATTCGTACCTTCCCTCTATAAATTAATGTAATATTAAGTTAATATTTATATTAAAATAACCAAACTAAAACTGAAATTTTAAAACATTCATAAGAAAGCTTTTATAGTACATAACGACAGAATAAAAATACAGCCAATCCCAGCAGGTTCCCTAACAAACAATAAAAAAGACGAGTTCTCTAATGAAGGAAGAACAATCAGGGACGTTCGATAACAATAAAATTTCCAATATTCTATAAAAGTTCCATTATAATCCGGCTCATAATATTTCATTAAACCGTCCACGATAAAATCCTCGTCTTTTTCTATCACTCTGTCATTGGCCGCGACTCAATAAAACGATGATCGGACGGCTCATTAAGCGGGCACAGTCGCAATATTGTAGCCCGACGTGAACTGGTTGCTTGTGTCTGGGAAGTATGAGCTGTTCGCGGATAAAATAAACCAGAGACCGTGTACAGAGCGCGACAGCATGCGTTTACCGTGGATCGTGATTAATCCCCTAACCATCGCTCGTTGCTCAATCTGTCACCACGGCAATCGCGGACATTGTTCCCATCGGGTAATTTACCAGTTATCGTTAGGCAAGCTTACAATGTATTTAACGCTTTGACGAGCGATCACACGTATTCGTGACTTCCAGACATTATGAAAACTAAAGGTAGATGCACTATTATGGTTAGATAGTTATATGTTGAAATGTTAAAAATGTGCGATAAAAAAGATAGAAACTAACTGGGTGGAAAATATGAAAATTTGAAGAATTAGAGTAGGTGATTGTTTAAGTGAACCTTGTGGAGTTGAAAACCTGCTCTGTCGCTTATATGTACTAATTTTTTTTATAATTTTTATTTTTTAATTTTTAGCAATGAGTAGAGAAATGGTTAATTAGCGTCGTCCCGCCGTCTCAATCCATTTCTCAGTTGTCGTTAAGAGAAGATGTAGAATTTGTATTAACAGCAAGAGGGCATTAACCCTTTGAGAGTCCCACATATTATTTTTATTTTCTAAATTTCATACTGGTTGTTCTTCCAATATACGAGATCACATAAATAAAATATGTAATAAAATTATTACATATATTTTAAAGGGGATATGCTGTAAATTCTTTACCGAGACACATAAGAAAATGAATTGATTATTATTTATTCGTTTTAACAGTTTACTAGCTATTATATTAAGGAGAGAAAATTGCAGAATAGACTGTACAGCGCATTAAATTGTTGGAATGAAGATCGCTTGATAAATTTTAATCTAGATCATGAAACAGCTGCCTTATCCTGATCCACGTTACTAACCAGCTGGCTGAAGTTACGTAATTTATTGCTCTTGTTGTTGCATTGTTTCAAGTTTATAATTACATAATAGAAAACAGATGGATTATTTATTCGTGATTGACAATTGTAATTCCATGTGTAATCATAATAATCATAGAACGAAAGAAGCTAAGCTGATAACAATCTCATTTTATAAAACCAATCTTCCAGTTTTTAAAATTTTTTCAACTTTCAAATTAACATACTTCCTTTATTGATATTATTTCATAATTAAGTTAAAAAAATTAACCCTTACATTAAATTTTGTCTTAATCGTAATGCATCTAAATTGAAATTGTATTAAAAATGAATCAATAGTCATCAAAGATGTGTTAATTAATTTTTAATCCACAACTGATAGTGTCTAGATATTCATAGGCTTCCGGTAAGTAAATTATCAAATGAATTCAACCGTGCCGCTCTCACGTTCGATGATCGCTGTAATCTCGACGGTTGCGATCATTCTTCATTGGCACCGGTGCTGACACTGATTCGCCGTAATAACGGAGCCTAATTCGGATCAACTCAATTGTCCCCTACGTGCAATATAAATCGGCCAGATACGATATAAACGGTCGATGGGTGGGAACGAAGAAATCTTACGATGTTGAGGGATGCCTTTATTAGTTTAACCCTCTATCGATCCTCGTGAATACGAGTATTCACATTCATAATGGGATACCATGCGTGCCGGGCCTTTTGCCGAATTACATTCTTTCCTCGTCTTGCTAGAAGAATCCAAACACGTGTCTATTGCAATTCAATTAAAACAAAATTTAGAACTTCGATGATACGTACAATGAATCGCAAAAATATTCCCTTAATTAACGATTAATTATGCATCATACTGGCTGTACAGGATGAAAATTTAATTTTTGTTCACTGCTTTGGAATTTTGTGATTCGAGTTAATCTTCATTTTGTCCTTGATTTTATATTTAATAAAATTTTTCATTTTCCTTTATTATTATTATTATACTTGGATAAAAAGATACTTGGCGATAATGAAAATTGAAAAAGGGGTTCACTCGCAATAAAATCAAGTTTCCTTAGAAAAAATGGTAATGTGTACTGATGGGTATAGTGTATAATCATTTGTCATCAAGTATTGCTCAATTGCAATTCAGCAATAATTCACATCCATCGAACATCATCTAACCAAATAGGTAATCGATAAATAATATCAGACATTGACGAAGTACAAAAATAAAATGTAAATCAATTGTCTATCGCGTGCATCTTAACCGGAACTCTGGTGCCCAATCGAAAGCACGAGTCACGGGGATGTCGTAATAAATTCGATTCCTTTTTTATCAGTGGATTCTGCAGGGTATTGCTGACAAAGAGATAAAGAAGAGGGGCCGAGATGGGAGAAGGTTAAAACGTGAGCAAGCATTAGAGCTCGCCTGTCATGAGAATGATTCATCGAAATTCGGATCACGAGCGATCGATCTTGCAAGATATTAACGACATCTTCGCTCTCGGAATTCCGAACCGGTCATCGGGATGCAGAGGAACCACCTGCAGCACCATGCTTTCCCAAGTGATTATTTTTTTTCCATTGTGCTTCAAATGCCAGGTGTTTCCATTCCTATACACGTTATATTGCCATTTTAGTGACTCTATATTTATATACACTTAAAATGATACACTTTTACGTTCCTTTCCTCTATAAATAAATGCTTGAAAATTGTTGTTTTCCTAGATCCTCGTTTACGGCAATATAACGAGAGCCTACTATAATTTCTCAGTTTCTGTCTTTAGGAAGATACACTCTTTTTGCTACATGTTTCAAGGGTAACTGAAATAGTAATTTCCTCCATGAAACCTAGCCATGTTTGATCAAGTCAAATCGATCAAGTCCGCCGTCGAGTGCTCCTCAAACATTGGCTAGGGAATCGTATTCATAGTTGGCCTAGTTGCGGTGTACACTGTTTAATTACAACCCTGTGAATCTAACTGGTAGACATTTCATGGCGGTACACAGGAATGTTGGAATTCAAATCTCTCCTTAATACCGTACATTCCAATGTGTATCTACTCTTAATTAAAAATAATTTATAGTAAAATATGTATTATATTAATCAGAATTAAGGTGGACCATCTATGTACATGTACTAGGAGGATCTATAATATTGTTTGTTTTACAGAACAAGAATATTTCAGTGTTACATAAATAGGGCAGATATCGGCAATCAAACTATTTGTCAAATTATAATACAGTGAAGGATTATTTCATTAAGTTAGTATCATAATATAATGGCAGCACACACAAGTATTTACATGTGTGTGATATGAACAATCGTAGCTCTTGTTTCCCCTCTTTAATAAGTGAATCAGACGAACGTGCTCTATTCCTTTTGTTTCCTCGTTTAATCTAACTGTTCTTTTAATATACAGAACGATTAAGACTATCGTCAAGTCTTTCAATTCAATTTGTGCTTAAGAATATTTCAAACATTACTAATGTATTATGGTAGAAATTAGCAATAAACACTTTTGTTATATTAATGATCGAATAATAATCTTGAATGTAAATGAAATAATTAACCAAGAATTGAGTGCTTCAGAATAATTTAAAAGATAAATATTAATGTATATTTAATAATTTATACCAATTTTATGGCTTTACATTCCGTAAATCTTTGATTTGTATAATTTTTTATTGTGAATCCAGTTGGGGGGATGAGTACATATTTTTTTACAAGATCTAAAATTTGTTTGCAATTTATATCTTATAAAAAAATGCATTCAACACCTACTTTATCAAATGATTTTAAAAAATTAATTCTGAACACAATTTTCAACAATAAGACGAGCTAATTAAAAGCTCGGCAACTTTTAATTAACGAGACAAACATTAACTAGTTAAAAGGGTACACGTAAAACACGGTATCAGACAAGAGATTCACAAACTTCTGTAATACACGTGTTAGGCAAAACTTGTTGCGCATTCATGTCAGTGAACGCATGCGAAAAACGTGCTTCCACTTCCTGCTGCTACGTTGTTTCAAACTTCACTTTGTTCTAATTTCATCCCCTTGTCTCGTCTAACGCACCACTCACCAAGCTACTTAAAAATGGTTCTCTAACAGGGATGCAAATATTTTCCCGTGTATCATGGAAGTTCTTCACGTCGATATAAAGCAGTTAAATTAAATCTCTGAATAGATCAAATCAGACATAATAAATTATTAAATTTTTAAACGAATGAGTTTCATATTATTAGAAAATAATATGAAATACAAAATTGAATTAAAATTGTGGCTCTCTCCATGGTCCATCATCCAAGGGTTAAGCATGTGACCCATTTTGTGTTTTAATAGCCGATGCTTCAGGTAATCGGTATTCAGATAATTGGAATTCTATTGTTCTTATCTATAAACGATTAGTACTATCCCAGCCCCTCGAGTTTAAACCTTCTTTAATGGGATAAATATCTGGATGTTTCGTCAGTATTGCAGTTAACTTTATTAATATCTGAGGTCGTTGCGATACTTGAATGTTTAGTTATTCGAATACCTAAATTACTCAGATGCTTAGTTATTAGGAGAGACTTAATTACTCGGAAATTCAATTATTCGAATCTTGTTATTCGTATCCTCAGATATTGGAACGCCTGTTATTTGCATAGATAGTTAATCAGATGCATAGTCAATAGAATGCTTAATTTGTCAAATGTCTAATTAGACAGATAATAATTTGGTAGCATAATTACTCGAATTTTTAAACGAAAGAATTTCACATATGGAAGAATAATTTTCAAAGGAAGGGTAAGATTTAGAAAATGAAAATAATATGAAATACAAAATTAAATTAAATTTAGACAGGGTCCGCTGTCTTAATTACTCATTTACTTGATTCCTCATATATTTACTTCCACAGATACTTAAATTCTTATTGTTAGAAATCTCAAAATCTGCAAATCTCTGACAGAACTAACACTAATACTAATGAAACATCCAAATATTTAACTGATTAATGAATCAATGATACATAGTTCCTATACCTTACCAAATCACATCAGACCACAACAGCCCATCACTGTCACTTTCAAATTTTAATCAAAATATCACCACATATTAAATAACTTTTCACAGTAAAAATCATAACAGCAGAAATACACTTTTCCGACCGATTCCAGAGCGATCGCAACCGAACGTCCTACCATGCTCTCGTTCTAACGTAAACTCGTGCTTGCATTTTGTGCGAGTGCACTAGCCGTTCCGTACCGCTCTCCACGCCACACTTCACCATTCCTCCCTCCTTTTGTTTCGCCTCTACCGAGACTGCATCGAGGGAACAACCAGCAGCGGTTTGCATTAGTGCGTCTTTAACGGTGTACCAACTCATAAGGGCATTGCATCGAGCGTGAACATGTGTGAGCGTGTATTCCGAGTATTCAAATAGGCGTCTGCGTGAGCGTGCGATTGACAGGCCAAGGTGATTAACTTCTCTCGCGAATTGAATAATATTGACGGTTATTCTTAAATTTGGCGCAAAAATAAGATACAATAAAGATCCATTAAATGGAGTTACTAAGATTATTTAAAAATAAATCTTCAATGGAAAAAAAGAAAGGTGCCAAAATTAATTTATACACCTAATAAATTAATGGTAAAATAAATGTTTATGAGGAAAGAATTGAATAACCAATTTATTTTTTTAAATCTGAAGTGATGTTTCGACTTTTGATCCCAGTGTATATAACAGAAGCTTTGATGAACGACAGCGTTTTAATCAACCATGAACTGCCGGGTAAGAAATAAAATTTATCAGCAGAGGGCCAGGGTCAAAGCGGTCTTTGAAGTGAACAGGATAGAAGAATACAGACCAAAGAGAGTGAAAATGATTAGTTAAGGAGTCGAGTTACGGGTCAGGTCACCCCGTGAGTCTAAGTCGGGGATTAGAAGAGCCCATAGAATTTTCGTTAGCCCACCTCCTGGAACAGCCACGCGATTACATTCTTCTAAGATGACTAAGCGGCCCCTTTTCAAAGAAAAACATCAAAAACGATAGCAGCAGAAGCTCTTCCAATTTTTCCTAATGATATACAGTAGACTCTCGTTATATTGCCACATTAGCGATTTCAGCCTACGAAAATGATCTCTCTTTTCCTCTCCGATTAAATGTTTGGAAACTTCAAGAAATTGTCGAAAAACAAAAATGGAAAATCTAATAAAATATAAATTTGGAACTAAAATTTTAAAAAATTTGGAAAGTTGAATTAGTCATTTTGGTCTGTGACTCGTGTAATTAAAATTTAGCTATGGGTCAAAAGTGACTACATATCAGCTCACCTATTTGTCCTTTTTAATATTAATGATCTATTAAGTTCCTAAAAAATGTTTAAAAGCCTTCTAATGATTACTGACTTCCAATAGATACATCAAAGCTATTCGAAAACCAGCAGTGATTGAGCTGTTCGAAATTCGCCAGAGTATTGAATGGCCATTAGCAGGCGTATTAGGGTCTTTATTCGGTACCTTTTACGCGATTGGTATGGACGACGATGAATGAGTACTGCGAGGGTCCGCATCTCGATTAGAAGATTAGATTGCAATTAGCTGCTTGTGTTAGCTGACCGCATTCAGGACAACGAGGTGCTGGGGCTGCTCCAAAATGCACCCACTAATTTGCTACTCCTACTCTAGATGGCCAAGTTTCTTCTTGTGGATCAAGGATAAAGCTGACAAAGGAAAAGATTTCAGCATCCCCTTAACACGTTCATTGCTACGTCAGTTACAGCTGAATGATGTACGAATTTGTCCATTTAATGAGAAAATTTCTTACACAAAAAATTGCATAGGGTGCATCATTTTTATCTCGTCAAACAGTGTTAGTATAAGAAGAAAATGTTATATAAACGTAGGTTCATAAATGGTTAATTACACAGTTATAACAATAATACCTAAATTATAAATGATGGATTCTTGTTTCATCAATTGATTATGTTTACTGAAGTTATTAACATGAAATCATTCAACTGATTGACACCCTTCAGTGTTAATATCAGCTACAATAACATAGTAATTATAATGATTGCTAATGATAAACACAACCTCTCTCATATAATTAAATATCATCAACATTTCTATGCAGAATCAAACAAGAAATTAGTTATTTATAATTTTGGTATCTTCGTTGTAACTGTGTAATAAAGCATTCGTGATTCCATGTTTGTATAACATTTCTGTTATGACTGATAAAAATTTATCTATGTATAGCTCAGCAAAATATTGAAATTTAACTTGGGATCAATCGAACTTGAATATAAACTGCAATAATTATGCAAATTAAATTAATATTTTCCCTTTTTTTAAAAATGATCATAAACACGATAAAAGATTATCATTTGAATGGTATTTAATTATTATTGAATGAATTTCAGTAAATAATTCTATGGTAAAAAAAAAAAAAAAAATGTATTGAAAGTCATTATTATTTGCGATACGATCAGCTTAGCACCTTTTATGGGAGGACACGAAGCGATACGTAGCCTTCCAGAATGGGGAAATGCAGGGTGAAAATAGAACGGTTTCGAAGCTCATAAACGCTTTTCCAATCGCACAAGCGATCGACATTTCCACTCATTTCAATTTCGCTATCGGTTCGATCGACTTGGTGCACGTGTTTTTTCTCTCTTCTTCGGGGAGTTCACGCACGTGCGGCCGTCGATACGAATTAGAGTCAGGGGTGAGTTGAACAAAGCGGGAGCAAGCCTCTTTTAGAGACGTCCCGTGGGATCGGCTTAAGTCCTGAAGGCTGTCGGGAAGTGGTTGACTCATAAGTCCACACGTGAATTTTAGCCTCATTCCTGTCAATCTTTCTTAGCTCTTGTGTATTAATTGGTCATTCTTTTAATTGAGTAATTAGGGATTTGCTATCAGTACCACAAGGATTAGTGACCCAGCATTTATACTTTTGTTTCCAATGATTTTGCAGACTTAGATATTTCAAACGTTTAAAAAGAAATTAATTCAATTCATTATAATATTCAATAATAAAATTAAAATGTTATGGAATAAAATAAATGTGGTTATTTCACTCTCAATATGTTCTCAAAAATTGAATTAGAATTAGAAATAGAAAATAATAGAACAAATTGGTTACTTGATCCCCTACTAAATAAATAAAATATTAAATCCAGTATACTTTAAAAAAAAAAACCTTCAAATTGTCTGCTGTAAGATTGAATATTTTGAGATCAATCATGACGATTCTCGTGGATTCGTGGTCCCTTTTAGGGTGGTCCCTCGCAGTAAGATCACAAGCAACGATATCTGACAGACATTATATTTTCAATTCCCTCGTGGGTATCAACGAAATTGCATTCTGACGGTACATCGGGTGAACACAGAGGATCGAGTGTTTTCTATTCGCCGCGAAATCCATTTGCAGCTAGCGTATATCATGGCTCGCGATCTACAGGATTAATTCGATGGGGAACCGTTGCGAGTATGCTACAAAAATATTGCACCGACGAACATCGTGGACGAGGCGTGATAAGACTTTCAGAACCGCTTTGCGTTCTTATCGCATCGTACCCGATACTCTAACCGAGGGCATGCAAAAAAAAAAGCGACTTAACAAACCTAGACGTGAGAGAAGTTACGATCGTTAAGTATTATCTTTAGAAATAATATCGTTTTTTGTGTATTTTGATATATATAATCGATAGTACTATTTATAAAATTAAAAATAGTAATACAAATAAATGGTAAAGGCTAAAAAGACGTACTTCATTAAAAATTGCATTATAATCAGAGAAATATTCTTTTAATAATTACTTGGATAAATTCATATTACTGTTCATTTCTGATTAATATCAATCACTCTATTAAATTAAAAGGTTCGCGTATAATTTGTATTCAAACGAGAACGGAGTTTAATTCCGATCCTTTTAATTTAGCCGGGGCTCTATGAGAGTGCACTGAATGGATTCAAAGCGTTTAATGCGGGTTCGAGTGATCCCAAAGCGAATTGGTAAAAATTTCGAAATTCCACGGATGCAGGTGTGCATCATTTAATTTCTCGGTTATCAGCCGCGTTTTCAACCGTACTCGAAGATCAATTAAACCGCGTCGGTACCAATATAACATCGTTCGTCCATTAAAATCTGGAAATAATTAAATACATTCAATTTAAAAGAGAAAGCAAAAATACGGCAAGGGTCTTCTGAAAATTGCATTACTTTTATTCATTTGTACCTGTTCTTTTTTTTAAATATATTTTAATATTATGACAAAAGTAGTATCATTTCTTTCGATACATGCTGGTTCCAAGAATGACTTTCATTAATATCAGCCACGATTTTATTACCCTTTGCACGAAATCTCGTCTTTAACCGGTTGCTCTTGGAAGAAATTACGATACACCCTTGCGATATGCACAGGGATCGTTGGAATATTTTTTTGCAAAATACTGTAATGATCTACACACGCGATCTAACGATAAATTAAAGGATACAAAATGAACTGTTCGAAGATATCGATGAAATTATGCGTTAACGCGGTTTAATAGAGTGGGGCGATATACTCGAATAAATAAACAAAGGTGATAGAAAAATATTATTTTTAATAGCATTACTATTGGATGCATTCATAAAATGAGATGGTGAATAAAAAGCGAATAAAAAACTATTTCATAATAATGTAATTTAAATAATTTTTTTAACTTTGGTTGGCGGACCATGAAGAGATGCTCTATATAGGTTTTGTAAGTTTTATGATACAATTATTATTTATGTGAAAGGATCATGCAATATTTCCAGTACCGTATCTCTCAACTATATCGTAGGTACTATCCGTGAAAAAATCATTTGAAGTTTCTAGTTTCTAAATTGATTTTCACCCCTGAATTCCACATCTCCGCGCGCGGACATCGGAGCATCCAATATAAGAACAAAGAAACATCCCCTAATTTTTTGATTTCGACCCACTGATCGCCACTTACGACGAAAGGGAGGCAGAAACCTCGAAGGAAACAAGACGGAGTTAACGTCGCTAACAGCTGTCGGTACCCGCGGTGCAAATAAATGGGTCCACTCCTACCAGAACCATTTACCCTCTTGTCTATGAATCGACGGGTCGAATGATGAAAAGATTGCGATCGAAGAGAATTGCCAGCCTCATTATCTAACACGAACTACTAGACGTCTTCGAGAAACACAAGGATAATTGATTATTCCATAATCTCAATCAGGATGGTATATATGCAGAGGTTTTCGGGCTCGATAAATATAAATGAAAATCGAGGCTCTTTTTATATAAACAAAAACGAAGATGTTATTTGATAAAAAATCAATAGGTATCTATTAAATCATTTTAAGAAATTTAAAATATTTGTTTTCTAATTTCAGTGGCTATAACATTATTAAGAATATCAGGATTTTCCGGAGGTATAATTAATTTTATTGTATTATTTTCTCATTTTCTCAATCTTTTATTAACAAAAACACTAAAACCTTAAATCAGCGTTAAAAAAAATCAGTCAATTTATTCGATCTCCAGTTTATTCGGCCAATTTGGTATTCCCATCGTGCTAAAAAGACCATTTTCAAGGAAAGGAAATTTTTATAGGGTTCCCGTTGAATTTTATGGAAAATTCAAAGTTCGCGTCTCGTTTATAGTCGGTCGAGCGAATCCTGCATAAAAATACGGGACAAAAAAATGCGCATGAAGAAAGTTCAATACGCATACAGACAGCACCATTTCTAGGGGATGCTGTTAAAAAAGAAGCTTTTTTGGACCACTACCCTTGGTTAGGTGAGGATTATACGGTTAGGGGAAAGCATCCTGGCTACTAACCGTATCGGAAATATCGTTCGGTGGATTTTCAAGCTCGTACGGCTCTAGGGTGTACCCCAAAATTCGACTGGGTGCAGAAATAATGGGAGCGAGCTCGAGGAAACAGGCAGTCGAGGGCGGAAATCGGGAAATCCGGATCAAAGCAACACAGGGCTCTTTACTCGCACCACAAAGATAATACATATCTCGTCAAGGGGAATAAATATTCCGAAGCCCTGAAGGTACGAGATAACAGTGTAAATTTAACAATAGAAAAGTGAAATTTTATTGACACGTTTAACTGTATGTAATTCAAAATTTGTAGATTTGTGAAAAATATAAATTATTATTAGGTGTACAAATTAATACGGTATTTGACGAATTTTTGCGAGTATACTCGTCATGAAAAAATGGCAATATTTTGTATTATGACGAGTATACATTTTATTACAATTTAATTTTATATTATCAAAGAGGACGCAACAGCCATCTGGTTAATTTATTATTTCCATTTCCAATAAAAACTGTCCATCTCTGATACCAGTTAACAAGAAACACTCTAACAAATCATTTCCCTTCTATTTACATAGAAAACAGAGATAGTTGTAACAATGTCTCTATAATAACAAGTATTTGTACAATTGTTACTCCGAGCATGAAGGATCAGAGAAATGCTCGCGAATCTTTCCGAATTGACTTGCAAATCAATTCGACAAACGTTTTACGAGTCTCATTTGAGAGATCAGAAAAATTCTCAGCCATAAAGCGTCCAGAGACGTGGATCATTATCGTCTATTTCTCACTTGAAGAAACTCGAGAATCGATAAGTTGAAGAAAAGGAATATCCGGCCGTGAGTGAATTGAAAGGAAGCACGAGAGGCTAAGGATCGCATTGAAATCAGAAATGAATGTCCAGGATACGTTGGCGAGTTGAAAAAAAAAAAGAAAAGAAAAAAGAGAGAATTCCCTTCTAGCCGCTCGAGAAGTCTTCTTTATCTCAAGTTTTATTTTCACCACCGCGACGCTTCGACTTGGTAGAAAAGAAGTTTTGCTGGTCGAAGGAACAATTGAAAAAGGAACGAGGTCCGAGCAGGACGAATGGGAACGAATCGAGCCTCTTAAAACTGCCAAAAGAGTGTACGGGACCGATAAAAAAAAATAAAAGAAGGAACTAAAAACGAGTCGTTGAAAAAGAATTGATCGTCGAGAGTAAATTCGAAAGTGGATCGAGACCGTACCGTTTCTCGTTCACTCGTCTTCCAAGTTATTTTTTCTGTTATGTCGAGTGCTTCTGAAAATTATAAAGGGAACGTTTTTAATGAGGAACTTATTAAAACTGCGCGATCAAATCAGGCTTACCTAGGGAAAATGGCGATGCGGGGGAGGTGGGATTTCTTTTAACTCGATGCCAGGTACAACATCCGAAGAATTATTCAAATTGCATCGGTGCAGTGTTCGAATCTGCATTAATAAAACGACGACGACGAGGCGCGTATCGAAGGAGGAAGGAAAAAAAAAAGAAAAAAGAAAAAGAACGTACTTCCATCAGCAACGGACTGACGTAATACAGACATGCAGGGATTTTTTCTTTTTTCTTTTTTACCCCAACCTCGACGAGTTTCGCCGTCACTCGGCTGTCTCGTTTCGCAGCGAGGTTCAGCAAATTGCGATCTCTCCCTTTTTTCCCTAGATTCCCTTATTTGTCCTCCCTTACCCTCTTCGAAGCTCCTGCTTTTCAACGATCAACCCCTCTCTTCTCTATCACGTACACGTGTCGACGGAGCACGTCCTTTTCGGGACACTTCTTGACGCACCTACACTTACTCGAAGCACAGGTGAGGATAAAGGAAAATAGAATACAAATAAAAAAAGCGAGGGAAAACCGTGAGCGACTGCGATTCAAACGAATACTGACATTCGAAAATTGTCAAACGAGAGATAAAACGTGATCGATATTGGATTGTTTCGAATGTTTCTAGGGGAGATGTGGCAATTTTAACTGAAACCTATGAAACGTGTACTATTTTTAATACCAAATAATAATATCATTTTGCGATAAAAATATATAATTTTCAGTTATTATCAAGCAGCAACGACATATGAGCGATCTCGTAATTACAGATAAAGAAATCATTACTGAATTATCATGGTAAAAAAGCCCTGTAAAGCAAAGAAATAATTCTATCCCCAATAATGCGGATTCTGGATTGCACCCTAACCGATTGGCTAGTTACTCGGTATCAAATAATTTTTGTATCCACCAGGACTATAATTAAGCGTGCAAATTTGTAAACAAAAAAAATAATTTTACAATAGATAAAAACTGCCACCTCAGAAATAAGAAAACCACAGACTACACAATGGTGGCAGTCTCATTGTCAGCCACCATTGACCCTCATAACCCACATCCAACACAATGCTACTATTTACCTGTTGCAGTTGCCATTGACTGCACACTTAATCGCTATAACTAGAAATTTTGCATGTTAACTAATGGAAATAAAAAAACCTTGCACTGTTTGTTTCCGGACACAAAACAATCATCGTAAACACAGATATCTGCTCGAGACGAATGGTAAACAAAGGATGATACAGGTGGAATGATCGAAGAAGGAGGATAACGCGGGAAGACAGGTTAATTGAAATAAACGAGTGAAAAGGGTGGGCGAAATAAAAGAAGCACTCGAAGCACCCTACCTTCGAACTCGTTTCGATGACAAGCACAGCTATCCTCGTGGCTTCGCTCGCGGATAAATCTTACGCAGAACATGTCACCCTCTGGTGCGACCATAAACGACCGTGGGCGACGAACGACTGCGAGGAATTCGATAATGGAAATGCAGCACGACGGCGTCGTTGCTTGCTACTGCTGCTGCTGCTGGTGTATAACCAGTAAAACCGTAGAGTAGCAGAGTAGAGCGAAAGAGAACTTGAACAAGGAAGAAGAGAGAACTAGAGGAGACCTGGAAGAAGCGAGAGCAAGAGCGCCAGGGAAATACAGGCTGAGGGTTCAAAGAGTTCTGACTCTCGCCCTGCAGTATTTTCTCTATGTGTCTGCTTTTTCAATCCGTTTCAACGTATCTCGACCAACCTTGGTCGGTTCCCGTACACGTACTCGGCTAGTGTTTCGTGCTGTTAAACGTTGCGATTGCAAATAGAAAGATTCTGATATATTCAACGTGATTTCGAGCAATCAGGAAGAGTTTCATTCCGTTTGATCGAAGTTCATTGATGATAGGAGGTTACAAAGTGCCTCTGGAGTTTACTTTTAGAATCTTCATTAACACTCTGATAGCTACTGTCCTGTCTTGTACTAATATTGTAGAATCTATTAATAAATAAACAAGCTACTAAAATTATTATTTACTGCCACTCATTCTATGATTCTAAGTTTCTAAAATTGCAGAATTACGAAATTTCAAAATTTTAGGGTTTAAGAATTCTAAAACTTTAAAATTCGAATCCTCTAATAATTTATTATTCTGAGACTCTAAGATTCTAAAACTCTAAAATTCTCAAGTTTCCAAATTTCTAAAATTTCCAAGTTATCAAATTCTAATATTTTAATAACCTGAGATTCTAAGATTCTGAAATTCTGAGATATTGGAATCCCAAGATTCTCTCATAAGGCAAAATAAACACCAAACACCATTAATAAAGCTAAAACACGTAGCCGGATCCAAAAATAATTCTAGTCATGCCACTGGTTATTTCCTAACAATTTTGTAAATTTTCCGACTTTTAAAATGCAGATAAATCAACAATAACTGGTGATGTTCAAAGCTTAAAACAATATTCCTCAAAGCGAAAATGGAACATAATTAAAAGCACATCGAGAAGTGAATTTAATTAACATTCCCAGGGACTCTTGCTGCAGGCGCAACTTTCAACCACGACAACAATAATATTATTGAAGGTAAAGTTGAACGTACACGTATTCAGAGTGGCGAAAAAGTTTGCGGAAACATGGAGCGTAGAAGCGAGACGAACAATTCTATTCACCCTCGTGAAATCGAGTTTGTTATCCGATGAAAGAGAACGCGCATCGCGGAACACGACACCTTTTCCTATCGGTTCCCTTTGAATAGCACCTGATTTTTATTTCCGACATTTCATTCGAAACGTCGCGTTGCCGGACGTATTGTATACGAGAAATTCTCGTGGATGCAACAAATAAATATTCGCTACGATCGAACACGAATCCTTTGCTAACCACTCAGCTAGACAAGAGCTTTGTGCTCGATAAAAATTCAGAAAAAGGTTTCAAAGCGGAAAGATAAAATTCACGGTAAAGTGAAATTTCACGGTTACTTCTGCTGCTACGTTTCGTGATTAAATTACATGCGTTGGAAAAGTGGTCTTCCCTCGGTCAGCTGAATTTTCACCGTAAAATAGCAGAGTGGTTTTTGATATTAACGAATGAGAGAGGATTTCAAGAGGTAAAGAATAAAAAAAAAAAGGAATGGAGAAAGAGCTCTTCATTCATATTTTGTACATTTATGAAACAAGATAATGAAGATTCATTTAGTTAATAGTAAGATCAGAATTTAATTTTCTTTACCTTCTTAAATCACCATAAGGGGAAATCTTGTTTGTTTCGAATTATATATTAATAAGGAAATTTGTACATACCCTAATCTAATTAGAATATCCCAACACACGTCCGCAAAGTGTTAATTCCGACGTGTTGTCGCGAGCTGCACCAGCGTTAAACTGATTTCCGCTTCTGACGTTTCATTTGCCCTCGAACCCTCGCGACAGTTCCGATTCGCGGCGCGTCTTTGTCCGGATGCAATAAATGCACGCGGGATTGCATACCGCGTCGCGTCGTCTCGAAGGGTGCAAGGATCAGCAGAGTTTATACAAATACGAACGCCCCTGTACAGGTGTAAATCTATACATACGCGGTAGAGAGGCGCGAATTGAGGGTGAAATAAAAATGACAGCATGGAGAGAAGCGTTGGAAAAATTTATACCGCACGAATCCCTTAACGTAGTGGGATAATAAGGAATTAAGAGAAAAATATATTTTCTGCTTTTGTGTATGGGAAAATTGGGAAGAGTTTTGTTGATTTCGAATTTGTTTAAAAAGTATAACCCTTTGAATTTTGCAATCTGTCTATTTTTATGTTGGAAAAGAAGAGTTACAGAAAAGTAACTCTGTTATCTCGTTAGTATGAAATTTCAAAATCGCAATTCGCAGCAGCATAGTAGAATTTTCTGAAATGATATTCGACAATACGGGCTCGTGAGACGAATACCCATCAGGACTTGGCAACGATAAAAAATGGAAGAGTCTGTTTGCATAACAAACGACCCGCAGGGGGCTAGCGTGTCGATTATTGCAAAGGGCTGTTAGCAAAGGGAGCGAAATCTGCGTCAGCAGAAAGGCCCATGCATGCATTACCACTGGGAAAACTCATGCTTATTCAAACAATAAACTGTTAAACGTAGGAATAAAAAATAATATTGAATCTTCAACACATATATTTTTACCATTGTTCATTCCAACAAAGAACCATCCTTTTTATAACGGATGCTTATGTTATGAGTATTATCAAATAAAATTCACTATTTGAATTATAATTTGTCTCTTTTTGAATAACTATTACAGCTGTGCTATAATCATTGCATTTATTAATAATTAATTACATACACTGCAATTTTTATAGAATTTAAGTTATTCAAAATAGAATATAGAATTTTAGTTATTCAAAAAGAGACAAATAAAAAAAAAAAAAAAATGGGGACCGAGGATTTGAACCCGGGACCTTTAGATTGCGAGTCATGTGTTTAACCACGGAGCGGATCCATCACTCGCAATCCGAAGATCCTCGGTTCAAATCCTTGGTTCCTAACAATTTTTTTTTTTTTTTTTTTATGATAATTTTTATGTAACAGTTATTCAAAAAGAGACAAATTATCATTAAAAAAAAAAAAATGTTGGGAACCAAGGATTTGAACCGTGGATCTCTAGATTGCGAGTTGTATGTGTGAGTTTGTCATACTTCAGAATGTAAAAAGTAACTAACTGTAATTGTTAACATCTTTTAAAGAATTAGCCGTCTGCACCCAAAAGGGGGTATAGACGTGTTCAGCTCGACGAGCTCTACAAGCTGGGAAAGTTTCATTAATAAGTGCGTGTAACACTTGGGTAGTTTCCCTTGTCAGTCACAATTTTAATCTACTTTCGTATTTCATATTATTTTCATTTTCTAAATTTTAAACTTTTTCTTAACTTTAGATTAATATCCTTGTAGATATTTTGTAAGTTTGGGTCACGATTGACCCACGCTCGGTTGTTCAAGCTTCTAATTAGCCAAATTTCACGTTGTGTAAACATCATTAGAACGCTTTGCTATTTTAGTCAGCGGTTCGTTCCTTCAATTTACTTCCACTTTATTATCTCCGTGCCAATTGCTCGTAAATCCCATAATTTCACGTTCGTATTATCTCGAACGCGTACAGTGCGGTATGCAGGTATATAAATGTGGTGAATAG